GTTGCAGAGATACTGAATATTGAGGAAATGACGGCTGAGTCTTTCATGGCCAACCTCAAAGCTGGAGAGATTGCTGAGATGGTGCTCATGAGACCTGAGACCACTCGGGAGGAGCTGAACTCCTCCTCTGTCTTGGACGAGAACGTCCTGGAAGACCTAAACAAGCAGCGTCAGATGCGCGTGGGTTCTGAGATCCTTAAGAACCCCAAGGATCCGGTGTATCCTTTGGTGACGGAGTATGCGGACGTGGTGAGCAAACACCCACCGACCCAACTCCCACCGGATCGAGGCGTACGGCATGAGATTGATCTCGTACCCGGCACAAAGTATTGTGTCACGAGGCAATGGCCTCTCCCGCGCGAACAGTGCGAGGTCATTGATGCCTTCTTCGCCGCGAAAGCGAAGGCAGGCATGGTGCGGGAGTCGAAATCTCCGCACTCGACGCCGACTTTCTGCGTTCGGAAGTCAATCGGAAAGCGGCGTCTAGCTCATGCTTGTAACAAGCTGAACAACGCGACGGTGCCGACCCAAACACCAATCCCACGAAAGGATGTGTTGCTAAACAGCATGACCGGGAGCTTACTGTACAGTGCGCTGGATTTGGTAGACGGATACTACCAGATCCTAATGCGGGAGAGTGACATCCCACTCAACGCGGTGAGCACTCCAAACAGCATGCTTTGGGAGTGGCTCGTCATGCCAGAGGGCTTGTCTAACGCTCCGGTGACATTCAACCGCCTGGTGACGCAGCTATTCAGGCCATTGCGCGCCTTCGTACAAACGTACTTCGACGACATCTTCGTCCATAGCCGTGCCGAGGAAGGCAAGACGACCATGGAGGTGCATCCAGGCCACCTCTGTGGTGTAGCGGGATCAGCAAAATCTGCGAGATTGCCAGATCCAACTTACCAACTGCACCCAGACACCGACTAACGGAGGGGGTCCCCCGATGATCCGTGTTCTGCTGAACTTTCCTCACCTTGTGTACCCGTCGGTAGGGCGGGATCTTGCTCTCTCGGTAACTTCCGAAGAGTCCAAGTGGTGGTGAAGCTTGAGTGGCTTGGCGAGACGTGGGGATGGGGTGGAGCAGCAGTGGAAAATCTTCACTCTGCGTCCGTGGATTGTTCCGAATCCTAAGCGAATATTCGAGCTTATGGATCCGGGGCCTAGATCGTGGATCTGGCCGTAGTGTTGCCTTGCGGGTGTGTCCCTTGCCTTTGCGTTCCTTTGCGTCGTACTTGCCGCCTCCTGTGACGGGGTCTTGAGAGCTGAGAGCCTCTAGGGTATAACCGACCAAGTAGTAAATTCGCTTAACCCGTCGGATCTGCACGTGTATGGGAAAGCTTACTAGGTTGTAGGAACTGGCCAATGTATTATCCAGTTATCACTACCAACACTAGATTCGCAATTCCCAACCTTCTCCGAGCTCGTACGGCCAATGTAGTTCCGGTTCTTGAGGGCAGGAAGGCACTTGCGTGTTATGGTGCAAATGAGGTTCTGTATTGATATTTAAGCCTATACCTGCCTGGATTTCTACCTTCTATGTCTTTCATCTGCTAAATCCCTTACCAGGCTCGGCTGCATGTCCCTTCTTCCCTTGACCCATCATCCCAGCTGTATTATCTTCAGATCCACCGGATCCATGACGTAATCATCATGGTCACCCTATTATGGGTACACTCATCCGGATCCAGGTCGCTTGGATCCACTTCACTGTAATTGTACACTCGCCGTGGATCCGTGCTCTCCAATCGTCCAACATCATCTTGCAACCGTCTGTGACCTCCATTGTCCCACGAAAGTTCCAGATCCACTGCATCCCTCATCCCTGTACCCTGGATCCAGGTCCTTCTATGCGGGATCCTCCCTCCTTGGATCCGAACCCGGAAGTATGGGATCCGGGGTACCTCGCGGTGGATCCTGACTTCTCGTTAGCCGTGGCTACTAGATCCACCTTCGGATGGCACCTACCACCATTCCTTCATAGGATCCACACTCGATCCACTGGTACATAGTATATCTCATATCCATTTAAGTGAATCCAGGTAAGGGTGGATCCGAGATAAGTCTTGGTGGATCTCGCCTTCCCGTACATCGCTCATAGTGTTGATAGGGCCTTTCAGACTCTGAAAGGATCAGAATCAGAGGCCCCAGGTCCGCCTCCTACAAAATATACGCAGCTCTTGACCTAGATTAGAATTTGTATGGTGGTTTTCGTACTTAACACTGAAATTGGGTTTAGCCCTTCTAATCAGATTGCTTGGTCCGAACCAAGCGTATGGGTTGGTGAGACGTAATTTGGGGCTTGACCAACGTTTGGTACCAGTTTAGTACGCACATGGTCCACCAGATGGGAGAGGTTTGGTCCACGTGCTTGGGCGATTTTTGGAAGTCTTTCAATGGTTGGCTTTGAACGACCTTGGTACTTTGTACCAAATATCCCGAAGTATGACGTGTCACACTTCATGTAACCAGGGTACATTTAGGGCTACGTACCCCGTTACAGCTGTGATGCAGATATAAATCGCGCATCTTTACAGCTCTTATGCATTTTAAGCACATGCAACTTAAACGACAATAACGTACTTCGTGAGGCGCTTTAAATTGGCAGTGACTAGCGCTAGTACAGTCGTGCACCTCGTTTTCGGCCCCGGTATGGCTTAATAATCTGCACAATCTAATGATTGCACCACATGCATTGCGCAAATGAGTTGCCCATCTCCTTTGGACCAAATAACCTCAATGGTATACCCCTCCTCGAGGAGGGATGAAACGCCGCACTTCCGCCACGATGTATCAGCTCAATCACTTCACCATAAAACAGCTCATTATAAATTTTGTCGCAAAACGCCATGGCACGTCGCCCGTACGCCTATTCTTCGTTGAATCAAGGGATTATTAAAAGTCTCAAGGACCACTACCGTGCTAAGAAGCAGGAGGCCGAGCTGGACATGTTTTACAAAGGCGAGAAGTATACCCCCGTCAATATTTATACAGCGATGAAGTGGTGCTCAGAAGGTTGGCAAGACGTATCGACATTGACCATACGAAACTGTTGGAATCACACTGGTATTGTGTCGAAGATGAATTTGAGATTTGTACTTAATTAGGGTAATACAAAATAGTACATTTGGATTCCATCTGTTCCTCTATAAATATTCGCAGCTCGTAGACTCTATAATATAGTCCACCCCGCCGAATATGAGGTGCACGACTGTACACGTTTTTGAAAAGTGTTTGTTTTAAGAACGACTGGTTTGATTTGTCAACCCTTCTTCTTAAATTTCCCACTTTTTTCGAAAATACATTCGAGTTTTTTTTCGCTTTCTTTGGAAATTCACAGTTTGAAACACGGCATTAGCTAATTTAAGGATACTATTGCTCCAACCTCTGTCTAGTACATGCGAACCCAAGAGCTCGGTCGCTTTTGAAGTTCTTATTGATTTGAAAGACTGGCTACAGCAGCCCATGTATATATATTTAAGAGCTATACCACTGCCCTTGGTCGCAGTCATCAAGCGCTGTCATCTTCTCGGCAGTACGAGAGTAGCGGTCTGGTCATTCTGCACTATTTGTTCTGCCAGGGACTGTCCACTCAGGCGACTTATCTGGAGCCGTTCAAGCAGCATAACCACACTCTCTAGTTCTATTTATTTAGACAAAAAATCCTCTCAATACAATGCCTTCAACTTAAAAGCTGAGCTAAGGAAATTAAATCAACAAGCGTATAAAACAAAACGTGCTTTCGCCTCAGCTCCAGACTTTGCGTCTCTGTTTGTTGCTACCGAGCTTACTCTGATTGGAGCAACCACTTACGCAACTAAACATCGGAATCCTGGCAAGGAACACTGAATGAGCCGTCGTCCCAATTGCTGCCACAACTCACAATCGATCGCTTTCTGGGTTCGGAAAAACGTGTCAGTAGTACCAAGTGTCATGAACGCAACAACTAAAACCATCCTTGTGCAATTTAAACGGAGTGAACAGTCCAGACAACCGGTTAAATTAGGACGTCAGTTGCTTTTTCATTGTGAATATTTGGTTCTGGCTGGGTACACTGAGTGCGTCGTTCATCTGGTACTCACCACGTACAAGTTGGTATGATTGAAAAGACGATAGTTACGGAGAGTAAGGAATAAGGGTTTACGAGTAGCTACTACATCGGTCACTGAAATTTGACGCTAGTCCAATAAGTGACCACTCAAGATAAAAAGCCTTTTTGCATGCCTAAATCTGTTGAAATGAAATCATCGTATTTCTGTCGTTGTTCAAATTCAATGTAAACGTAGTTAGTACCGACGTGTTGGTTTAAAATAATACACTACAAAACAGAACACGACATGTACGTATATTACTTAGTACTACGGACTTGCACCAGGATTTGGAGCAAAATAACTTATAACCAATTATTCCGGTTTAGGTCCACTTTAATAAATAATTATTGAATTTGGTCGTAATGCAATGATTATAACTGCAGGTCTAATTTTATAAAGCATACAATGTTTAAGTCAAATACAGACAGCAATACATTACTGTGATATTTTTCAATTTAATAATTTATGATTGAGATCGAGCATATACTAGTAATAATTATTATTATTGCTACGCCATAAAACGTTTTGCAATATAAGTTTTTTATTTTATTTTCCGATCGCTGGCTTGCACCATCGCTTTGTAAAAATGCCTACCTAGGAAGGGAGAAAGGAAGCAGTCAACAGCCTGTGTTGTATTAATCGACGAAAGTAGGACCTGCTAGCATGATTAAGGAGGCCTCGCATCACATTCGAGGCCGCTGAGCCACACCCTTTTAGCTCACAGGATATCCCTAGCCAGCATGTAATATGCCAATGGGTATACTTCTGCCCTCCGCCGATGGCCCTTGAGCTAGCCGCGCTTCAGTAATTCCTCAAAGTTGTTTTGTCGTAGCTTTTCCAAGAACTCAGCATGTGTTTGCTCCTTGGTTTTTTGTGTCGTAGTTTTTCCTGATCCTTTACTGGGATTCAATCTCTGAAGAACTTCCCAAAGAAGCCTCCCTCTTCATCGGCATCGTAATTTTCGTTGCCGACACGCCGCAGCAGTCTTTCTTCGCTCGTGGGGACGCGAGCAACTGTATTAGGCGAGAGCACATTTTTCGTGGCCATTGCAGTGGTTTCCGTGGTGGCATGAAGCGCAGTCCCACTGGCGTAAAGAGTGGTCGCGAGTACCAGTGTAAGTACGTAAGTGAGGCGCATTCTTGATGCTCGCTTTTTGAAGGGCTACAGGGGGCTTGAGAGTTTATTCACCAATGTGAACACTTGTGGGCGGCAAAGCGAATCGAGGAATGCCATCCTTGGTCTGGACTCTATAATAGGCCAAGAAGTCCAGGCCAAGGATCGTATTCCTCGTTCGCTTTGTTGCTGAATTGCAGTTTGCAATGCAAAGTCACGAAGCCAGATCGCAGCTGGGATCCGGCGTTGGTGATCCGGATGCGACAGGTTTTTATAAAGGTAAAACCAGAGCTGCTACTAATTGAGGCACCTATGAGCAAGCTCAATTCAAATTATATCACCTCCAATGCAAAGAGCAGACTGTTGAGCAGTGCACCGCTCATGCTCGGTTCGGGCCATTGGACCGGTTCAGTAGTGAACCTTCCTGTGATTGGTCCATATAGTACAACACCTACATGGTTGGTAGCGACAGTTGGTTGGAGCAGGTAGTGCACAAAGGACAGGAAAGACAAGTAGAAGAACGATAACATCAATCTTATTCACTTCGGCTTTTACCAGCAAACCAACAGGTTAACAGTCGCAACAAGAACTCTACCAAGCACGCCCCACCACCTTCATTCTACCATGACGTCCAAGCGAGCCGAAGTCCTCCTGGGTAGTGGAAACTACTTACACTGGGAGTTTAATATGCGCATGACGTTGGCGCGCAAGGGGTTGCTGGCGCACGTCCAAGTCGTCAAGAAGGAAGCGGAGGTGACTGAAGCGTGGCTCATCAACGACGCTAAGGCACTGGGAATCATCGCCCAAGGCGTCGAGCTGCAACACCAGACAAAGATACGGTCTGCGACGACTGCTATGCACGCTTGGAACACTCTGCGTGAGTTCTACTACCGTACCACTCTGCACAACCGCGTCGAAATGACACGCCGTCTCCATGAGTTCAAGATGGAGAACGGTTCGACCATGTCCAAGCATTTGGACGCTTTCGACGAACTTGTTGTTGGTCTCCAGACACTAGGAGAGCCGGTCGACGACTCAAGACAGCTAGTTGTACTGCTGAGCAGCCTTCCGATGGAGTATGAGCTGATTGCGTCTATTGTGGAGAACGCTAAGGATATCACGCTCATTGAGGTCAAGGAGAAGTTGTTGAAGGAGCACGAACGGTTGCAAAAGAAGGAGACGACGGAGAAAGCGTTTCCTGTGAGCGGTAGCGGTGGACGGTTCAAGGGCGGCCGAAGTAACGGTCGAAAGGGGAACAATCCAAGGAAGAACGGTGGTAGCTTCAAGGGCAAGTGTTTCAAGTGTAATCGAGTTGGTCACATGAAGCGGGACTGTCCGGGAGGGAGCAACGGTGCTGAGGATGACGCAGTATTTGCTGTGGGCGAAGAACGGTTCGCTGGATGGCTAATCGATAGCGGTGCGACCTCACACATTACACCGTACCGTGAAGATCTGTTCGACTATGAGGGAATGGTCTCGGACATCGAGGTAACAATTGCAGATGGGAAGAAGTTGCAGGTCGCAGGCAGAGGAACGGTCAAGTTGACCGGTATGGATAGCAAGCGCATCAAGATGGTGGAAGTTCTGTACATTCCAGGACTTGACAGACGGTTGCTGTCGGTTGGGAAGCTTGCGGAGCGCGGTTTAAGTGTGGGGTTCCAGCGTTCCTCGTGTGTCATCTGGGGCAAGAACAGTGCTGTGGCACTGGGCAAGAAGGTTGGCAAGGCGTACGTGCTTGACTATGACCAAGAAGAAGCACGGTTCGTGGAATACGCCGGGGTTGACAACCAGTGGGAGCTTTGGCACGCTCGTATGGGGCATCCCAGCGAGAACGGTATGGCCAAGACTCAGTCTGCCACGAACGGTATGCCAGTCGTGAACCGTGGCATCAAGACTTTATGCGGTGGATGCATGAAGGGGAAGCAGACTGTGACACCGTTCCCGGCACGGTCAACGAGCAAGACCTCACGTGTGCTGGAGTTAGTCCACACGGATGTAATGGGGCCTATGCGAACGGTCTCCAAAGGTGGAGCACGGTATGTGCTGACATTTGTGGATGATTTCTCACGGTTCGTGGTGGTGTACTTCATGAAGAACAAAAGACACCACTAAGCTGGCCGAGTTCAAAGCGTTCTATGAGAATCAGTGGGGGGAACGGATCAAGTGTCTTCGCTCTGACAACGGAACGGAGTATGTGAACAAGAAGGTCACGCAGCTATGTGCTCGAAACGGTATCATGCATCAGCGTACTGTGCCATACAGCCCTCAGCAGAACGGTGTGGCTAAACGGATGAACCGTACGATCATGGAAAAGGCACGAAGCATGCTGCACTACAAGGGTATGTCGACGACATGGTGGGCAGAGGCTGTGAGTACCGCAGCGTACCTGATTAACTGTTCGGTGAACACGGAGCGATCAAACATGACGCCGTACGAGGTGGGCTTCAAGGAGAAGCCACGAATGGAGCACTTGCGTGTGTTCGGGTCTCATGGGTACTCTCACATCGACAACGCAAAGAGAGCAAAGCTTGATCCGAAGAGTTTCAAGTGTGTGTTCCACGGATACGCAGAGAGCACAAAGGGGTATCGTGTCTACGACTTGGAAGCGTCCAAGGTCAAGGTGGCACGGTCAGTCAAGCTTGACGAACGTAAAGGAAACGGTATATACGATACACCGTGCTCGGGACAAGGAACGGTCATTCACGTCATTAAGGACACTGATGTAGCAGTGACCCCAAATCCGATTAAGGGTCCAGTAGTGGATGAACCTATGGAAGATGTCGAAGAACCCGCTCAAAATATCGAGATGGACAACGTGGAACCGGATCAGGATATCAGTGTACAACAATCACTGCCACTGGAAGATGAGACCTCCACTGGGCTGGAACTGGCAGAGTACCATGATTCGCAACCGTTTCACGAGGATCGCTTAGTATTCCGTCCGGAAGTAGAACGCTCAAGGCGCTCTCTAAAGCCAGTTTTTCTTTTGGAGGACGGGCTGGGGCGTGATGAGGAACGGAAGTCGGAAGGAAGTGACGGTCCACCAGCACCTAAGCGTCCAAGAATCGACGAAGGTGGCCTACTTGCAGAAGCAGTGTTGGCGTATGCGGCAAGGATCAACGGTGTACCTGACACGCCGAACTCGTACGCTGAAGCAGTAACAAGCAATGAAGCAGCGGAGTGGCGGAAGGCGATGGAGGCAGAACTTCTATCGCACAAGAAGAACGGTACTTGGACACTTGTACCGCGAAAAACGGTTTGTCCCATTGGGTGTCGCTGGGTGTTTGCCAAGAAGCGCGATGAGAACGGTCAAGTGATTCGTTACAAGGCACGGTTAGTGGCTAAGGGGTTTAAGCAGAAGTACGGAGTTGACTTTTTCGAGACGTACTCCCCTGTGGCGAACATGAACTCAATCCGTGTAGTCTTGGCTGTGTGTGTTGCGGACGCATACGAGATGGAACAGTTGGATGCAGACACAGCGTTCCTGAACAGTGAGCTGAAGGACCGTGTCAACATGGAGGTACCGTTCGGCATCAAGAACGCCCAAGATCACGTCTGTTTGCTAAACAAGGCAATCTATGGGCTGAAGCAGGCTGCGAGCGCCTGGAACAAAACCATTCACAGAGTCTTCATGAAGAACGGTTTCAAGAGCTGCGGTGCAGATCAGTGTGCGTACGTGAAGCATTCAAGAACGGTTACATCTATGTTTGTCTCTATGTGGACGACATGATCATCGCTGCCAAGACCCGCGATGAGATCTGTGAAGTCAAAGAGGCCCTCAAGAACGCTTTCAAGATGAAAGAGCTTGGCGACGCGACGTTTTTCTTGGGGATGGAGATTGACCACGACAAAAGCGCTGGAACACTGATGATCAAGCAGACGCGGTACATCGACGACGTAACGGAACGGTTCGGGCAGCAAAACGCTAAGGGTACCGACAACCCTTGTGCGTCCAATCTCAAGTTGTCGAAGGAGCAGTCACCAGGAACGAAGACGGAGTGTACGGAGATGCAGGCAAGACCGTACCGCTAATCGGATGTCTGATGTACATTACGACGTGTACTAGGCCGGATTTATTGCCTACGTGGTGACGCAGCTGTCGCGATTCCTCGAGAATCCTGGTCTACCGCACTGGCGAGCTGCGATTCGTGTGCTTCGGTACTTGAAGACGACACGCACACTTGGGATCGTGTACAACGGAGGATCGGGCGAGGTCACGGTTGAGGCTTTCACGAACGCTGACTGGGGGAGCAATATCGACGATAGACGTTCCGTGTCAGGTGTGATGGTGATGATCGGGAACGGCCCAGTGGTTTTCAAGTCAAAGTTTCAGAGAACGGTAGCGCTGAGTTCTGCAGAAGCTGAGTACATGGCGTTGAGCCTGTGCACCCAAGAAGTACTGTGGACGCGCGCGATGTTGAAGGACTTGGGAAAGGACCAGGAAGAGGCTACGCAGATCTGGGAAGACAACCAAGGGGCGATAGCATTGGCCCTGACCGCTGGCTATCATGCCGGAACTAAGCATGTCGACATCAAGCACCACTTCACGAGGGAAAGTGTAGCGAACGGAACGGTCAAGATCGACTACGTGGACACTAAGCACCAACTCGCGGATATACTCACAAAGGGGCTCGGCACCAAGACGCTCAAGTATTTGCGGAATGCTAGCGGTATCAAGGAGAAGGTGGACACCGTGCAGTAAGCGGTGAGAGGGAGTGTTGAGCAGTGCACCGCTCATGCTCGGTTCGGGCCATTGGACCGGTTCAGTAGTGAACCGTCCTGTGATTGGTCCATATAATACAGCACCTACATGGTTGGTAGCGACAGTTGGTTGGAGCAGGTAGTGCACAAAGGACAGGAAAGACAAGTAGAAGAACGATAACATCAATCTTATTTACTTCGGTTTCTACCAGCAAACCAACACAGACATGCTGGAAAATAGTGTTTTGCATCCAGAAAGTATTTACCAGCTTAGGTACAAACAGCAAATAGGATCAATGACGTACTCCTCGCTAGTTAGATTT